CCCCCCCCCCACTGATCCCCAAGCACGGAGAATGGAGAGGAGGCGGGATCAGTCCAGGGAAACCCAATGACTTGGGAGGAGGGTGCCCTGCCCCTCTTCACAAAGCTCACCTAGGAAATGAGATTTAAAGAGATGCTGTTGAGAACGGCACTTGTCAGGAATAAGTGTTGTCTTTTTCCAGTGTCACGTGCTGTTACCGACGTCTGGATACTTTGCTTGCCCTGTTTGCTTTGCCCTGCTTGTCTTGCTTTCTTGCCCTGCTTGCCTTGCCCTATTTGCCTTGCCCTGCTTGCCTTGCTTGCCTGGCCTGGCTTTGTGTGAGTTCGCAGCGACACACTTCTGCTCTGTCCCAGTGAACTCTCCCTGTGACGAGGACTCCTTGGAACCAAATTCCCTGAACTATGGCTGCTGTCAGAACTGTGCTGCTCCTCTGGACTGATAGCAGCCATGAACTATTGGAGATGTGTTTAGGTTTGCTCCTAAACTTGCAGTGATTGATGGGACTTTTGGGGAAAAGTTGGAGCAATAAAGGGGAGTTAAGCCTTCGTTCCAGCTGTGTTGCTTCTGTGCCCAGTCCCGGGTCACAAGGTATCACAATACCTTTAAAAACACAAACCCTTATAGCGGGGTCCCCAACCTACTACTGGACCTGGTTCGTAACCAGGCTATTCTGAAGTGATGAGTGAGCACGCACACATCCCCATTTGTGTGAGCAGCAGACAAGCGCAAATGGAGCGGTGCATGCTTGCTGGCCACTCATGCAGAATCAGGGGTGAAATCCAGCAGGTTCTGACAGGTTATGGAGAACCAGTAGCTGAAATTTTGAGCAGTTCAGAGAACCAGTAGCGGAAATTTTGAATAGTTCGGAGAACCAGCAGTGGAAATTTTGAGTAGTTCGGAGAACCAGCAAATACCACCTCTGGCGGGCTCCAGAGTGGGGTGGGAATGGAGATTTTGCAATATCCTTCCCCCAGGAGTAGGGAAGGAATGGGGATTTTGCAGTATCCTTCCTCTGGAATGGGGTGGGAATGGAAATTTTATCGTATCCTTCCCTGCCACGCCCACCAAGCCATGCCCACCAAGCCACACCACACCCACCAAGCCACATCCACAGAACCAGTAGTAAAAAAAATTGGATTTCACCACTGTGCAAAACCATTCTTCTCGCTGGAGAAATTGGGGGACTCTGCCTTATAGGAAAACTGAGAAAGTAATGTCAAACAATGAAGATTTGCAGTATGTGTAATAACATAGCTTACCAGTAACAGTAATATCACCAGCTTCTGCTCTTGCCACAAACAATAGAAAGCACCAGAAAAAAATAAGCATTGTTGACTAAGTTTTCATTTCTGCAGTGTTGAATCTTTGGCAGTAAGCTCCAGTGGCAGACATTGAAACTCTTTTCATTACTGTGAAATAATCAAATATAGTGATCTGAAAATAATTTATTCCATACAGAAGCTACATGGAAAGTGTATAGAGGTAAGCAGAAATGCTTTGTGACATATTTCATAGTTACTTTATGGAAAGAGGTTTCTTCTAAAACATCTTTTTAAAACATGGGACCAGTAAAGTTCATAAAATCATAGACTCATAGGACTTGTTCTCGTTGTCAAAAAAATTCTTGTTAGTTTAACATTGGATTTTCCTCTGATGAGCTTGCATCCATTGCTTGTTGTCCTGCTCTCTGGTGCTTTGAAGAATAAATCAATCCCCTTTTCCCTGTGATAGTCCTTCAAGTATTGAAAGATAGCTATCATGTCCCTCCTAAGCCTTCTCTTTCTTAGACTAAACATACGTTGTTCCTTTAGCTGTTCATCAGATGGTTTAGCCTCTAAACCCCTTATAATTTTTGTTGCTCTTTTCTGCACTGATTCATAGCTACCACTGTCACTATTATATTAATTTTTAATATAGGGATTATATTTATAATGGCTATAAATAAGAAATTATAAAAATGCCAAATACAGTTTAAACATCTGGCTGTGTGACAATCCAACCATAATAATATAACATGCATCTATTCTCTTTTATACTACCTTTTAATAAAATTTCAAAAGAAACATGGGGAAATATGGTTGATTTACAACTGAATGTAAGATTTTCTCCATGAAGCTTCTATGAATGAGACAGAATATAGAGCACAATAGAAGCTTCATTTGAACTGATTTCATTTGGGATCTGAGAAATAAAAACTACTACATTAGCCTAATTAACAGAGAAAATTTACTTAATGGAGATAATAGATTTATAGATATACTTAGTGAAACAAATCCAAAGAATTTTTAAGCCAACTACTTGCATTCAAATAAAAAGTTAATTTAAATAGTTAAATTAAGGCATTCAAAGGAAAGGAAACAAATATGTACATATTATTTGTGACATTTTTAAAAAGGCTTAAATATTATTTGAGGTAGTGAATCTGAGAAATTGTAATTTGAAAAGGGATTATTTTCTGAATGAAAAATCTTACCTTTCGATCTTATCAGATGCAGTAAGTGTTGTGTTCTAAACGGAATTTCATATGCATATTTCCTTTTAATCAGCTTCCCTTACCTCAATGTCATCATTTCTTCCTCTTTTAGCAAGTCATGTTTCCGGCTTCATTTTGTGAGCAAGAGGGGAATCTGTATTTTCTCATTATACAATAAGAGCAGGCAAATATTCCTTCCCCAGATTTGCACTGATAGAAACTAACATACTTCAATACTGCCTATGATGATAAATTCTCCTTCCCTTATATGTGTCTTCTCTCTTGGCTCACAACACTCTAAAGTACTCCTTACTTTTGCTGGCAGACCACCTGAATAATTTATTTTTTAGATCTAGGTCTGAAGTAAGAAACCACAGTCATTGCTACTGTTCTGTACTGAGAACAATGTATGAGAGCGGATGCAACAACTACCATTGGTTAAATCCAGTTCACAAATGTGTACATAGTGACAAGACAGACACTGTCAATAAACCACAAACAGAACACACTGTCTTTAAACAAAGAGGTTTTTTTTTAATTAGATTTATATGCCGCCCTTCTCTGGAGACTCAGGGCGGCTTACCCTGCGTTAAGCAATAGCCTTCATACTTTTGTATATTTTATACAAAGTAACCTTATTGCCCCCACAACTGGGTCCTCAATTTACCTACCTTAGAAAGGATGGAAGGCTGAGTCAACCTTGAGCCTGGGGAGATTCGAACATGCAATAATTGCAGACAGCTGAATGTTAATAACAGGCTTTTAGTCTGTTGAGCTATCCAGGCTCCTGGACTATCACTAACCCTACATTTTTTGACCTATTTAATTTAATAACTCAAACATCTTAGGCTGGTTAGCTCTGAAACATTAACAATTTTTGAAAAAAATAAACCCAAACCAGGTTAATAATCCTGATAGTCCAGGCTAGATTGAGAAGAAAAAGAGGATAAATACGGGTAAAAGGCAATGATAAATCACTTCCCTGTTATCATGAAATACAGTGATATATCCTAGCAGTTAAGGCAGTTGTTATTTGGGTTCTTATTACCAGAGAGTGATGATACACTTCTCCCTGGAAAATGGTGAAGTCAAAAGCTTGACTGATTGATTGATTTATAAAATTTATTGGCTGCCCATCTTACCATAGGGTAATTCTGGGCGGCTTACTATCACATCTCAGTTAAAACATAAAATGTTAAAATCAAACTTTACAGCCAAGATTTGGGGAGGGTGGGGGCAGAGGGGGATCTGTTATTACTCAATGGGGAGGGGGGGGGGGGGCAGAGAGCAGGGGAGAGAGGGTGGAGTGGTGGGGAGGTGGATCTATTATTACTCAATCAACTATCTCCACTGTGCTGATCCCCCACTGGGGCCCCAGACTGACTGGCACAACCACATCTTTAGGCCGTTACAGAAAGATAGGAGGGTTCTGGCTAACCTTACATTGTGGGGGAGGGGGGGCAAGATGTTCCAGAGGGCAGGAGCAACAGCAGAGAAGATTGTTTCATGAGAATAAGAATAGCCCATTTAGAAATCAGTCTGGGATTGTACATAAATTTCGCTTCAGAAGTGCACGCAAAGCACTGTAGCTGAAAAAAAAAGAGGAAATTCACAATTCATATCTGATCAAACGGGATTTAGATAATTTGTAAAGATATGAGGATGGCAAAATAAAACAGCATAAGAACCTTAAACAACAGCACTAGAAATTCTCAGCAATTCTCTCTGTATGTATGTCTAATTAGCTAGTCAACTAGAATCCTGAAATCATCAGCAAAAAAAGCCATGCCATACATTGAAGTTGAATTTTTACCACCAGAGAAGGAGAAAAACACTTACACATTCACCCTGAGCAAGACAAAAGTTCTATGTATGTCAGATCATACAACTGGAACCAGGTTAGTTTTGTCTCAACTGATTGACTCATTTTTTTCCATTACCTTGGTCCGTTTCCTGTTAATGTCTTACTTTTCAGTTTCAGAGGCTTCAGATCTCTTTCCTACGAGACTTCATGGAACTACCTACAGGGTAAACAATATGATTTTGTACCTTCTTTAAAGCAAATAATACTGTACTGTGTGCACATGTTTAAGGCTATGGAGTGATGATCAGGCCTGCAGAAAGGTTTTATCCTTCCCTGTGTTGCAGGCTGGATGAAAATCATCTTGCCTTTGAGGAAAGTTATCATGGACACCACGGGCATTTGTCCATATATATTGTATCTAGGTGGCTAAAGGCATTGAGACTGAAGTTAGGAAAATGAAGATGACACACTTTTAAAAAAATGAGTAGGGCTTCAGTCATGCCATTGTGACTGCTTTTTTCGACCTTCTGGACATCCCTAATTGATTATTAAAGACTCAAACAAAACCCAGATATCTATGTAACTACTTTTGAAAAGAACAATTGTTACAAATTTTTCCTGTATTTTTTTTTTTAAATCAGAATTGCAACAGGGTCAGTAGATATTAAAATCGAAGCATACTGCAGTTGAACACATTTCAGTCGTTAGACTTCAACATTTGGATGTAATAAAATTTTAATACAGTAAAAGGTCAGTCAGCTTGTTTAACAAATGTGTAACATGGAAATCACGGCAAATCAATGTCTAGCACACATTTACTCTTAAAGTGGCCTTTATTCCACCCAGACCTACATTCTCTTGGTTGTCTCCATGCTTCTCTGATACTTAAAGGCGTGTGTGTAAGCTGAGAAGTGACTATGCAGAAATGGTTTTCCGTCACAAACTGGAACATAGGATTGCACAACAAAAAAAGACATGGGTTCAAGGTAAAGAAGTAGGGAAAACCAGGACCAACCTAAATCTAAATCAGTGTTTATGACTTTAACATTTTCTTTCTGACACAGAAAAAAAAAACAACCTTCAAGGACTTAAAAACTCCAGAGGACCTGCTATCTGAGGTTATGCACCCTTTTATTAAAGAATTTTGTTCTGGAGAGAAATATTTTATGTAAAGAGAAATTCCTCTATTAAGAACATCCAGTAGACACAATCCATCAAATTTAATATGTTATCACATACAACCCTGGGGAATTCCAGGGTAATAAGTTAGTTTAAATTATAAATGTATTTTAGTCATCTTGTAGCAGCAGCATTATGTTAGGTGAATTTTCTCAGGCTGATGCCAGCCTGATCTAATAATCTAGTTGTGAGTGAGAGATCTATACAGCACTCCATATCCATATTTGAAAGCAAAAGAATGCTTCAGATGGGGTATATATGCAGCACCAGACTCCAACTAGCAGCCATTCTCAGGACTCTTTGACAACATTAGGACTTCAGGGAATGCACCAGTACTTTCAAGAGTTATAGACAGATGCCATATTCACAGTTATAGACATTTAAGGGTAGGGGCAGCATGAAGTTTCTGTAAAAGCAGAGTATTGCCGCTGTAGCTGGTTCTTTTAAACATATTTCATATATGCAATACCCAGATGAAAACTAAAATTGTCACTGATTCCTGCCCAAGTTAAATAACACAAGACCCAATGAATTCACATGTATTAGGGATCTGTAAGTGCTTTTTTTCCAATGTCTCTCTGTCACATACATAAACAGAGCTGAATTCCAAATATAGTTCTTGTTAATTGGGGACAATGTAAACCGTAAGTCAACCATCCTTCAACAAATGCTTGCATTTTATGCATCGTTCTAGTTGATGTTGAAATGTTTTGATTGTCTCTCTTGGGCTTCTGATTCTTTGTCAGCATCTGCTGCATTTAAGATTCAAACAACAATAAAATACAAAGAAAACACAATTGTTCTTTGACATGTTGACATTGGACCCCCCATTTTGCAAATAAATCTGTAAGGCAGAAGTCCGGCATTTTGACATATCGTGTAAAAAAATGGACAGCCATATGGAATATATATATATTGAATAAAACAATATATAAAAATATCATTGAAACCAAGTCTAATGACACAGATAGGACAACCTGAAGCCCCCACCCTCAATTCTGCAGCTGCCAAGTATCTGTGAACACGTTCTAATGTTCTGCTTCCAAAGCAACAGTGATGAAGGCCTAGTAGCAGGCAAGTGATGGCTCAGAAGTGATACCGAAGGCATTTGTTCTTTTTCTTCTATCCTGCAACGTTACCTCTTGACAGGCAGCTGAAATAGTTGGCTTGGCAGGCATGGCATAGCGAAGCTTTTTCCAAAATTTAGAATTTAAAGGCAATGATTTTTCTTCTTTCCATTTCACCACTTGGCTGGAAGAAAGAAGTTCCAAAGATTTGGGCAAGAAATCAAAATAATTTTTTGGCATGTATTCTATTAATATGACTTTGATTTTTCTCTCAACTAAGGCTTTATGCAGTCCAACTTCTAGCTCGAACATGACTTGGTCATAGACATAGTTTTGGCTCAGAATAATAATTAATCGTCGACTTCTGTCAATGGATGATTGGATGTCATCAATAATAGCTGTAAATAGAAGAGATTATATTTTATTTCTATGTAACCCCACTTATTCATATTTCACTCATTTTAGTTAATGTTTTATGCAAAGAAGATTTTGAATATTTTATTTTAATTCATTAATCAAATTTATATAGTGGCTCATCTTCTCCAAAGAGACTGACTGGGTGGCACATATCGATAAATAAAGCAATATAAAACAGATACAAATTTAAAAGGTTACAGTAATAAATAGTTGTGTGTGTGTGTGTTAAACAATATGATTGTGCTAAAATCAGTCAGCAGCAGCCAAATTTCAACATTTCAGAGCTTTAGGACAAAATCAGATGAGAGGAAGGGAGGGAAGGAGATGTTATCTGCAATATTTTCAGAAACAACCATAAACCACATCTAGAATAATTGCTTAATTCATCCCAATGCTTTTGATTTGAGCAAAAGAACAACCCAAGAGTTTCAGCACTTTTCTCCAAAATCATAGCAAACGCACATTCATGTGTGTGTGTGTGTGTGTGTGTGTGTGTGTGTGTGTGTGTGTGTGTGTGTAAACAGTATATAATATAGAGTATATAATAAAATCACACCGGTGCTATTTCTAGGAAACTAAATGGCTGTGGTATATTTTAAATTTAAGCAAAAGAAAAAGATATTTTACCAATCTATTCAATGATCATTTATCTCAACTACTTACCTCCTCCAGGAGAAATATCTCGTTCAAAAATGCATAGCTTATATCCAAAATGATCTTCTAATGTTTTAGGCAGTATCTCCAGAGCAAATTTTCTCTCTTCACCACATATTGGTGTACAGTCTTTCAAGTAAGACACAAAAGCATCATATAGTTTTCCATCTATAAATAAATAATTTACAGAGTCAACATACTTTTTTGACAGAATTACTTATAGAAATGATAAGCTCTCCTATTTCCTTGTACGACTGGCTAAATAGCATTTATTTATTCTATATTTATTTCATTTATCAAACACTCAAATAAAAATTATTTACGTAGCCAAAGGAGCGCAAAAACAGAGTGAACAGAATCAATAATTTCCCATTTTGGAGACTTGTAGAACAATTATTTATCTGTGTTACTTCCCAACAACAACTCTGTATCCCTAATTTCTATTTTCTTTTAGAATAGAGAAAGACTGTAATAATGAAAAGTGAAGAGTTACAATTTCTTATTTTTTCCCCTTCGATACTTATGGGTTTAAATCAGTGCTATTCTTTATTAAGTCAAATCAATCACTTTACCTCCCAGTGTTTCATCCTTTCCTGTTATATCTCTGAACAATAAAACAAGCTCAATCTTGAATATTACACATAGAATCACTATCATTACAGCAATGAAGGAAAACATTATGGCCATTATCATTCCAGCAGTAAAGGCATGAACTGGTAAATCTGGATTAGATTCTAGGAGGAAAAAAAAGAAGAGAATAGATTATTGCGTAGGAAGGCAAGCTTCTCCAATAATCAGAAGAAGTTAAAATATTTTTTAGCCAAATGCCTGTCTAGTATGCTTTGAGACAGAAATATATGTAATAATATTTTGTCTTGTACTTCTCTCTTGAAATAGAAAAATATTCTTACAGCCTATAAAGATATGAAACATTTTAGCCATTATTATGTAACCTTAACATAACCTACTAAGTTTATATATTATCGTATATAAATGAAGTGACAAATTCAGAACTAGAAAATCCATTTGCTTTCACTCAAGATCAATATTTGTCACTAAAGAAGCAACTAAATGTTGTCAAATGTATGTACCATATAAAGGTGCAGGGCACTTTTAAGGGATACTTAGGCTTTATCCATTCCCAATTATCCTTTATACGGTATATCAGTATATACAGTATATCAAGCCAATTTTATGCCAGCTGGATTTCAGATTGTCTATAAGTCAGTCAGTCTTTCTAGGGAGACCAGACAGGAAACATGACCGGATGAACTAATTTAATTTAATTGTAAGGCTATATTAACAAAATCTTGCAAGTGAGAAAGTAGAAATTTTTGACCATCTCCTTTACAGCCTGGGATGGTCCCTTCCGAGTGTCTTTCTCCACCAACTCTCCACTATGCCCTCTCTTATCTGACCACTCCCTACACAACATTTCTTCACCCTGTCTCTCAGGATCCTTCTCACACAACACTACAAAGCTATACTCATTTATGTAAAATTACATTACATAATTACATTACATTACGTACTCATTTATGTAAAATAATCATTAAAAGCAGAATCAAAAACATTATGCAGTTTTAGCTTTTAATATTGTAAGCGGCCCAAGAAATAGTTTACTTTATTGATTAGGCCATGGGCCATATCAAAGTACAGAGTTCCAAACACAAATTATTACTAAAATCCAATAACAATAATTTAAAACAGAATTAGAATAAAACACAATTTAAAATGAGATTGCAATAAAATACAATAATTTAATATATGGATAAATACAATATGATAAAATTATTTTTCAGTGTCACTTCTACAATCTATATACAAAGAAATTAATTATGGGGACATTGGCAGATAACTGGACAAATATACACATTCTAGATAGTACAGAATAAAAATCAATCTTAGGTAATTTTGAATTTTATATATAAGTAGAAGAATGGTAGTCTGAAATTAGAAACCACCTAATTTTTCTGTCTACTAACAGAGAAATTCATAGAAAGACCTTTTTTTATTATTTCCAAGAATTATCAACAAATATGTTAATATCTTCTGAGTTTAAGTGAGTTTAATATCTGAGTTTGTAGATGAATAACTAGCCTATGAACAGTAAATTATAATCTCTTATTGTTCTTCTATATAAACACTTTAACCTGTATTACAAAAGTCATTTTGATAAAGCAGATGAACATAAAATATTTTAAACTATATAGTGTTTATATCCAAAGTTGGCTTGAGAATGCCATTAGTTTTTTAAAAAGAAATGCTTAAAAATATAATCAATTAACCAAAAATGCTGGTCTTTTCAGGTGCTGAGCAAAATAATATTATTTTGTACAATAATATGGATGTTTTCCCATTTTTTAAGAAAACTAAACACTCAACATTAAAATAATTCATAAATCTCAGAAAATTTATGTTTCTCCTGAAATTGCATAAGATATTAGATGACAATTCCAAAACATGGCCTTTTTTTAAAAAAAAATGTTTTTATTCATTAGGACAGCGGGTGTCAAACTTGCGGTGTTATGTTGTCGTCACATGATGTATTGTGACCCTTTGCTAAACTGGGGGTGGGCCTGGCCAGTGCGTGATACATCCAGCCCACGGCCCGTGAGTTTGACATCCCTGCATTAAGAGATGGGTCTGAGAATATGAGAGTATTATCTAGAGATACCATAAATGTTTCGATATCAGTGGGCATTAAGTTGCTATCTCTGAAACAAACAATTACATCTACAAGAACTCAGATTTAGATTAAAATAGAATTCATCTAGTAATTAGCTTTGCATAATTTTCAAGGTCTATTATCAGGTACATCCAAAATTATCTCCCTACTTTCTAAGAATTCTTTTTAGTGTTTACAGTTTATTTTTTCTCTATATCAGTTTGGACTTCTGGAATATATGGAGACACCTGTATTTACACAATTATTTTTTATACTAGATTAAACTATACAATACCTTTTTGCAATATAAATGTTTGCTCTTCAGAACCATTTTCAGAAAAGACACATTTGTATGAAGAATTGAAGTTCTTTTCTTTCACACGTTTAAACCAAAGTTGTTTCATAACATATTTTTTTCCATTTTCATCACTGTTAAGAAAGGGGAATTGATAAAATAACAATGCTATAAGCATTTACTCTGGAGAAAAGCTCAGTGAAGTCAATGAATTTCACTAAATAGAAGAAGAGAGCTTATTGAATTCAATTAATTAATTTGCTCTTCAGTCATAAAAGTTAGTCTTGCTCTTTTCTTCAAACATTTTGATGTATCTGGAAGGATTTTGGAAGCTCCCAAGTATGTGAAGGGCAATTATTCTGTTGACCACTTTGTTAATCTTGGAAATATATACCTTAAATTGTTTTCTTTATCCTGAACTAACTAGCTTATTCCCATCTTTTAAAAATGTCTGGTTTATATTTTATGAATGAATAAAATACTAACAATTTCATCTATCCATAAAGTCCCATTCCTACTGTATGTTATGGAATTTTCATTTAGCAAAAATCAGGAAACAGTTGTAATTCCCTCTCCAAAGAATAGGACAGGCTATTTTTTTTAATAGTACAAATATGCCATTTTATTATATTGGATCTCAGTCATTGTAGATCACATTGCAAAATGTACCAAAGAAATTTAAAATACAAATAGTCCTCAATTTATAAAAGTTCATGTAGTCATCATTAGAAGTTACAACGGCACTGAAAAAGTCAGAGTCATGTGATCACTTTTTGCAAACTTCTGACAAGCAAAATCAATGGGGAAGGCAGATTCACTTAACAATCATGCTATTCATTTAACAACTGCAGTGATTCATTTAACAACCATGACAAGACATGTCACAAAACAGAGCAAAACTCATTTAACAAATGACTCACCAACAACAAATTGGGGCTCAATTGTGGTCATAAGTCAAGGACTACCTATATGTTTAATTATTGAACAAGTGTACAAAATATTCGGTTATGAATAGTACTTACTATTTGCGTTCTACCTTTTGACACAGTGAACTATTACTCTGGCATATTTCTATACTTTTATCATGCACGATCCAATAAAGTTCATAAGGGAATTCAACAAAGTTCTTTGAATAACCTAAAAACGCTGTGCAATTGAGGATTTCCTCTTTACCTAACAGAAATATTTATTTAAAATTAATAATTTTAATCAAAGACTTATAAAAATTACAAGGGAGAAAATCACAATTTCATACAATGATCTGCCAATACAGAAATATTTTCCTTTTTAACCCTTTTCAGAATTAAATTTCATTGATTTAATATTTGCTTCAATGAATATTTCCTACCTGCTGGAATTCCTGACTTGGTGATATATTTTAATATAATTTAACAACTACAAATAAAAACAAATAAGAAGTTGGAAATTTGAAAAAAAAACATTGACTTCACTGGCACTTCAAACTGAATATATTAGAATTCTATTTTTACAATCATTTGTTATGAACTACAATAATCTATGTATCATAGGACTTGCCAACAATGTTTTGATACCAGTGTTTCTTCTGTTTGACTCTTATACTCTTATTCTCAAAAAAGGGAAAGCATTGAAGGGTATTGAAATACATTAAGTTTTCTAAAAATTCAGAAAAAAATATTTTCTCATAGTACAACTACAATAGAGTAACTGTTGTGTACCACAATCCTACACATTACATCTATTGCTCACTTAAACATGACTATGGTAAAAAAAAAAAAAAATTGTTTACATGCTATGGACTACAGAACTATAAAATTGGTAGAAAACTAAAGGTCCTGAATGTCCTGAAATCTCTGAAGCCAGTTGTTTTAAAAAAATGACACTGGATACAGACACGTTCTTTGACAAGACAAATAACTAATTCTTTAAATTAAAATATCACTCTTCATTTCTCTTTACAATTCTTTCAAAGGCTTGCCAGCTACTTGCTTCTAAATGCTCTAAATCAGGGGTGAAATGCTCCCGGTTCGGACTGGATCGCCTGATCCAGTAGTGATGGTGGCGGGTGGTTCGGAGAACCAGTAGCAAAAATCCCTGCCCCCCCCTCCTATGCCCAGTTGAACCGCGCAATCATCACAGGCTTTTTTTTTTTTAAAAAGCATTTTTTCTACAACTTCTTCGGCCAAAAAAATGCTTTAAAGAGTAAAAAAAAAGCCTCTGATGATCGCACAGCTCAGCTGGGATCATCAGAGGCTTTTAAAAGCATTTTTTTACAACCTCTTTAGCCAAAGAGGTTTTAGAAAAAATGGTTTTAAAAGAAAAAAAAAAAGATGGCCACCCCCATTCAGTCACATTACCATCCCCCACCAAACCACGCCCATAGAATTGGTAGTAACAAATTTTACATTTCACCACTGCTCCAAATACTCTTCCAGAAGGAATGAAGACTTTGAGGAATAGATCCTGGATTTAGATATAAACCAAGAAATATCATTACTTGGTTTATATTTAGTAATATAATATAGTAATATCAATGTAGCTCAAGTGCAGAAAAATCTATGGTATCTTAAAGGCAATTTATACAATCAGCTTTTGAAAAGGCACTCTTGTTGATAATATAGCCAAACATCATCACAGATTAATAATAAAGAGAAGTACCTATTTCAGTTTTGAAAACATTATGACCAGGTCCAATTAGCTTTGGAGTTATTTTTTCTTCAGTACCTTAAGAAGAAAAAAGAGAATTACTTAAACTAATTTTCCTAAAGTCCATCATGATGATAATCACTAACACGTTGTCCTTACATAAAACATTTTCTTTTAAATTTTAAAGTCATTTAATCAAAGATGATTCTTCATTTTAAAAAGATGATTTTGGACTGCCCCAAGCCATTAGAGTTTAGGATGTATTCTCAGAATTACATAGTGTTGATTTTACAACTACCTCATTTACTTAATGACCGCTGCAAAGAAGGTTGTAACATTGGAACCAATCACATGGTGACCCGTTTTATTTAATTTAATTTAATTAATTCAATTTATATGCCGCCCCTCTCTGAAGACTCAGGGCGGCTCACAATACATTTTAAAAAATAATTATATAAAAAAAATTGAAAAATTAAAAACATTAAAAACATTAAAAACTCATTCATGCCATTCATGGCCAGATCTCGCCAGATCACAAGAGCAACATCAACGGCCCCAGGCCTGCCGGAAAAGCCAGGTCTTCACCGCTTTTCGGAAGGCCAACAGGGTGGAGATGGTCCGGACCTCAGGAGGTAACTGGTTCCAGAGAGCTGGGGCAGCCACAGAGAAGGCCCTCCCCCGTGAGCCCGCCAGCCGGCATTGTTTAGCTGATGGGACCCGGGGGAGACCAACTCTGTGGGATCTTACCGGTCGCTGGGACCTATGCGGCAGAAGGCGGTCTCGAAGATAACCTGGCCCTGAGCCATGTAGGGCTTTAAAGGTAATAACCAACATCTTGAATTGTGACCGAAATGGGCAGACTCCATTATGGTCATAAGTCAAGGACTACCTATATCAAGCAATAAGACTTACTTCGCCCAGTAAGCATGCAGCCTTACAGCCAACAAGCATGAAGGACTTGAAGCGGAGATAATTTCTGATAGAGAGCTGCTGGCATGAGGTAAAAAAGAAGGGCTGTAGAGAGGACTGGTTAGAAGACCCTGTCTGTGCACACAGTCATCTATTGGGCCTCTGTTTTCTCCAGCACAGCTTGCATTACTAGCCAATACATGTATAAACGTGGGTAGCTTAAGCAAACGTAATCCATAAAGATAAGAGGATCGGAAGGTCTATCTCTGTGTTGTGTTTTCTTGAGTTCTCCATTATTTCATAACATACTAACATTCATATCTGTCACATTAGATCAAGAACACCACTGATTGTAGTCCCAAGTCATTTAACAATTTTACACAGCCTCACCTTTAATATTTAAATTGGTGGTACTTGTGCTGTTATATTTCTTTCCTGCATGAAGAAATGTTTTTACACATGTATATTTTCCACCATCCTTTTCTGTTAACTGATCAATGTGCCATTCTTCTTCACCTCTCTTATTAATAATCTCTATGCAGTCCTGTTTCAATGAAGATGGCTTATTATAAACATAAAATATACAGATTTTTTTTTTTTAAAAAAAGAGGACATATTGTAAGATAAAGCTCCCCATTCTACTGGAAAAATGCATCAATCTCTTTGTTCTAATCACTTGGATAAACATGATTGCACTCAGCATTCAATTTGTTTTATTCAAAAATTATTCTGCTTAGAGTTCTTAACCTGGGAATTAGCTCTACAGAACCCAAGGAGACTAGTGCCAGGGTTCCAAATAATAGCTCCATAGAAAGAAGAACTCTAAAGCAGACAAGTTCCTCAAAGAACAATTTCATTGGAAATATCATATTGGCACAAGCTGCTAAAAACCGATTCTGAAAGTTCCCACCTGATTAAAAAGTAAAAGTTTCCCCTTTCCCCAAACAATCAGCCACATTGTCCAATCAAGGCACTGGCTGATTGCTTGGATACTGTACTCCTCCTCTCTCCAGCCACCTGTTGGAATGTCCTTAGTTCCCACAGGAAACTATTTTATTTGGCTACAAATCCCCATTTATGCTCTCCCTCTCCCTATCCCTTCTTCGCACTGTGGCAATCCTGAAGCCTCCAAAATAACCCCAGCCAGGTTCAGTTCAGACAATTAGTATGCATAGATTTTCATGTTTAAACTAAATCCCCAGATTTAGTTGCTTAAAATCATTTATTTAAATCCACTCCTGGAAAATGCAGGAACTTTTGAAAAGAATGAGCCCGATGCAGAAACAACATTCTTATATTAATATTCATTCCTTTTTTAGTGAAATATGTAGTTATTACTAGAATGCATTACCAACAGAAGTTTGTATTTTAAAGCAGCATTTATGGAATTAACAAATTAAACCATCTGTAAACATTAATAAAATACTCCCCTTATTCAAATCTCTGTTAAAAAGACATTTAAAGAAGGATTTATTAAAAAAGAAATTATTTTTCAACAATAGATAAGTTGACTGGGAGTTGCCACCCAGCTGTAGAAGACATTGGCAGTGAAGTTTAAAACTCTAATCAGCTTCAGGCTAGGATCCTTGATGTATTTACTTCAACCATTCATGGAAACAAGAATATGAACTTTAGCTACATTCAGAGTTTTTTGAATAAGTGTGTAACTCCTCAAATGGATAGTGGTTGACAAAAATCCTCTCTTTGTACACCAATTCTACAAGCAGAGTGGAAATGTTTACATTGGAGAAAGAGTTACCATGATGAAAGGTTCATGAACTGCTATCCAAATGATGCAGAATTTAGTACTGCCTAGAAGATTCTATATACTATCTCTATAGGTGATGGCCCCTGATGAACATTATGCTGTATTCATAGAGACTGACTCTTCATTGAAGACACCAGGATCACTAAACAAAGAGGAGGACATTGTTGTTCGCAACTTATATGGTCATTTGTATTTTTGTTTTTGTTCCAGTGTATGAATGCAGTGAATGACAATTTCCATTGTGGTATATTACCTCCATCTTCCTGACTATAAACTATTTCTTCTATAAACAAAAAAGCATTTTAAAGGTACCTTATACCAGGTTATGTTGATAACATTTGCACTATCATTTGTACTACTGCATGTGAAAGGATAGCTTGTCCCAATTATTCCATCTCTTCCAGTAATCAAATGTTCTTCAGTGAAACAATTGTTTTTATTTCTCTTGATGACATTTAAGGACCATTCCTTACAGGTTCCATTTCTGCATGGGGAGAAGAAATGTGACATATAAAGCAGAATAGTTGTTTCAAGGAGGAGATATACATCCAACCTCTTCATTATTATCAAAATAAACTTATGAAATCCATGTGAAGAAATTAAGGGTATAGATCTCAAAAGTTTAAGAACATCCCCTTATATTTTTACTGTGGCCCACACTTTTAATAAGTGCTTAAAATTTGGATAAAACCAACTATTTCAATGGCTGAACTAGACTGCCAATCACAGCTACTACTTTCCTTATTTCTCACTCAACCTCACTCAAAAATGCTATTTAGCATAGCAAAACAAACTAGGGCGAAGTAAAGTCAGATCAAATTTATTATTTATTATTATTTATTTATTAATCAAATTTCTATACCGCCCTACTCCCGAAGGACTCAGGGCGGTGAACAGCCAAGATAAAATACAGATAATACAAATATTAAAAAAATCCCTTAAAATTATTAAATATTTCGGCCGAAACACAGATTAAAACACCCAATTTATAAAATCGCAAATTAAAAAATTTAAAAAATTTAAAAAATGGGAGTTAGGCCAGGCCAGCTTGCTGAAATAGAAAAGTTTTGAGAGCACGGCGAAACGTGCGCAGGTCCGGGATCTTCCGTATCTCTGGGGGGAGCTCGTTCCAGATGGTAGGTGCCCCCACCGAGAAGGCTCTCCCCCTGGGGGCCGCCAGTCAACACTGTTTGGCCGACGGCACCCTGAGGAGCCCCTCTCTATGGGAGCGTACTGGTCGGTGAGAGGCTATTGGTAGCAGAAGGCGGTCTCGTAGATACCCCGGTCCGATGCCATGGAGCGCTCTAAAGGTGGTAACCAAAACCTTGAAGCGCACCCGGAAGACCACCGGGAGCCAGTGCAGCTCGCGCAGGAGGGGGTCACATGGGAGTGCCACGTCGCTCCCATAACCACCCGCGCGGCCGCATTCTGGACCAGCTGGAGCCTCCGGGTGCTCCTCAAGGGGAGCCCCATGTAGAGAGCATTGCAGTAGTCCAAGCGGGAAGTAACGAGAGCATGAGTGACCGTATTTAACGAGTCCCGATCCAGAAAGGGACGCAACTGGCGAATCAGGCGGACCTGATAAAAAGTCCCCCTGGCCACGGCCATCATGTGCTCTTCTAAAGACAGCCGTGAGTCCAGGAGGACACCCAAGTTGCGAACCCTCTCCGTGGGGGCCAGTGACTCGCCCCCAATAGTCAGTGATGGCACCAACTGACTATATCGGGATGTCGGAAACCACAGCCACTCGGTCTTGGATGGGTTGAGCCTGAGTCTGTTTCTCCCCATCCAGATCCGCACGGCCTCCAGGCACTGGGACATCACTTCAAGGGCATCATTGGGGTGGTCCATGTTGATTGTTATAAGTAGGCCTTCTTTTTTCCTTCTTTCTCTTGTACTAATTTATAATCACAGTTGAGCTAGACAAATATATATATATATATATATATAAGATGTATACTTATTCATTTTAAAATTGTGTTATGGATAATTGTTGCTTAATGACCTCTTGTTCAGTGACCATTCAAAGTTATGATGCTGCTGAATGAGTGGAATTTATGACTGGTCCCCATATTTGTAGCTGTCACACATCTCTATAGTCATATAATCATAGTTCAGGAACTTGGTGACAAGCTCAGAATTACGAGATTGCAGCATCCCACAGACATGTGGTCGCTATTTGTAACCTTTACTGCTGGACTCCAACAAGCAAAGTCAGTGGGGAAGCCAGCAGGAGGTTGCAAATGGCAACAACGTGACTTTGCATTTAAGAATTGTGTAGGATTTGCTTAGCGAATTGTTGGCACTGCCGTCGTAAGTCAGCACAGTCATGTGACATCATGCTTTATGATTGTGTTGTGTTGCTTGGCAATGGAATTGTTGCTCCCAATTACCATTGTTAAATGATGTGTATCTTTATCATTTTCTAAACAAAGTGGTGTTCACGTTCAATTAAGTGTGTTTAGTATCACAGCAGAATATTCTTGAATACACATGATCAAAATAGATTAGAAGACATTTTTGATGGTTGTAAACCATATAATGTTTGGAATGGGAGGAATAAGAATATCACAGGTTAAAACTACTATACAAGGCAGGTTATAGGTTTATTTTATCAATTTTTCCTCCATTTTTTAATTGGTATCCACACATTTTTTCATTCTTTTTAGAGGTCTATATAAATAATACTAATAAAAGTACAATGGATGGTGCTACATTTTGTAAATATAAAAGACTTATTTTTCCTGTTATTGTTAAAAGGAAGGAAGGATAATATTTCAAATATTTCAAAATTGGAGAGAAACTATAGTATTAATTTTGATTAGAGGCCTTAGGAAACAGATATATAATGCCTAATTCCTTAAAATGGGATGGGGAATGTTTAGAGGACTTAGTTTCATGATTGTCAAACAGTTTGGGTTTGGTTAATCATGAATGTAGAAGCAATTTAAGAGATTAGAATGACAGTGGAGAAAATAATCAGTGTTGTCTCTGTTACAAAACAATTGATAACACACGAGAATATTTGGAAATTCCACTTTAAAAGAATGAAAGGTTGAATTCATCATTTTCTAAAAATGTGATTGCTGAAATATTTATGTAAATCATAGCAGTGAAGTGTTTAAGTATCATTTAAGTGGCATAGACTTACTCATAATTTTTGTAACATTCTTCCTGTTGTAGACATGCTGAGAAAAATTTAATTTGCAATACCCTTCCTGTTATACACACACATTGAGGCTGAAAACTGGGCCATCACCTTTGGAGCTAAGAAAATTGAACAAACAAACCACAATTTCTGAAGCAACAGCGTTATTATGTATCTGTGCTCTGCTACAGAGTTTACTGATATTATATTCAAAGCTTCTTAATGCTTTAAAGTTTTAAAGACTCGTTGCACCAAGAAGATGATGATATTCAGAAGACTTTGGCTATCTTTCTTTTTCAGCAAAGTCTAAAAGATTTTGAAAGCTCTAAACTGTTGTTTGGATGTAGGCCAGTGACTAAGAAAGAATGAATAAACTGAGATTTAACATAAAAAAGTTCTATCAATCAAGTCAGTCCTGGATGAAGTCAAGTGAAATCCTTTTTCCCAGATTTCTCTGGGATAAGTTGCTCTATTTTTTAGAGAAGGAAGATAGGACTTTAGGGATTTATATTTTAATCACTTCCTCTGTAGACTACTGTTAAACATTCCAAGTGGGGCTGTTTTTGAAAATGCAAATATTTGACCCCTCATTATCATGTTTTCCCGAAAATAAGACCCTGTCTTATATTTTTTTGAACCCTGAAATAAGCGCTTGGCCTTATTGCCATGTGCTCAGAAGCCTGATTGGGCTTATTATCAGGGGATGTCTTATTTTGGGGAAAACGGTATCATTTCTCCAATTAAGATTTGGACACAATCTAAGGGACCTCTTGAGCTTTCAGTTCCTGCTCAAAGAGCAGATGGAAAATGAAATGGCCATTCATTCTATTCCCAGATATATCTAGTGCACCAATTCTGGCCTTTCCTGCATTGGGAGGTCCTACATATCATTGTTTGTACAGTAATAATCTCAATAGGATTACAGTAATGTGCTCTACGTGAGGCTACCTTGAAAACTATCTGGAAACTATCGCAGGTCCAAAACTGGTGTTTCACAAGTTCCAATAGTCAGGACATTCAGGTGTAATTCAAGGTCCTGATTATCCCATTTAAAGTCATTTATGGCATAGGGCCTGGCTATCTGAGATACTGCTTGTTTCCAGTCATTCCTGCCATCTTATTTGATCCAGCAGGGTGGGTGTGTCCCAAATCCTTTCAATTAAAAAATGTCATCTGGCTGGATGCAGGAGAGGCAACTACTCTGCTGCAATTCCTGACCTCAAGAATTAGCTTCCTCCTATAGATTTTTGTGGTTCCCAAGCTTATGTCACTTAGAAAATTGCTAAAGATGTGATTATTCTCCCAGGCTTTGGTGACAGTTGATTTTACAGCCGCTATTTTGTTTTGTTTTGGTTTTCTGGTCTTATTTGTTTTAATTTTGCTCTGGCATTTTGCCTTTCAAGTCGATTTTACTTTCTATGCATTTTTTTTTTCAGTTGTAAGTTGCCCAAGAGTCATTTAGTCATTTAATTTAAAAATTAAATTAAAATTAAATTAATTTAATACTCTAAACTCAGTGCTGGGACAAAATGTAGCAGTTAAGATTCTAATAGGGATGACTTTTGCAGATTATATTACAGTGATCTTGAAAAAAAAGACAATTGATATGGAGTTGGAAACGGAACACACATCAAACAATTGCTTTTGATCTAAAGATCAAAAGATACACTAACATAAGATTTGGTCTTCTGTACGAACTTACTCACAATTTACAGTGCTCATTAAGTGTCCATTCATTTAGTGACTTAGATGGGTTGGAATTGAGATATGATCCTTCACAGTTATAGAAAACTAACTCTGAAAATTACTCGAAAGGAAGAGGTGACTTGCTACTTACATGTGTTACATGAGTGGGATAATTTTTTAATGATGAAATTTTAATACATGTAACACTTTGTCATACTTTAACTTTAAATGCTACAAATACTTTCTTGCTTTTATATCACTGTTGACATTATGGTCTGCTGGATGCCTGCAGAGCTGGCAGCAGAGTCAGACAGCGAGGAGGTTGGGGAGGAACATGTGCCAGTCCTGGAGTCTAGGGAAGGCTCGGATGAGGACTCTGTGTTGGAGGCAGAGAAAGGGCCATCTGAGAGGTACATGCTGCCTCTGGAGCCTCCAGAGTCAGACCTCAGTGAGGCAGAGGAACAGGGGAAGCCAGTTCCCTCCCATAAGACTTAAAAGAGGAGCAAAGGCACGTGGGCCTTTGCAGGAAGCAACGTTGTTAATTCTGTTCAGTTTAAAGTCTGAAGCTTTGTTTGATTCTGGACTCTATGTGGCTTTGCCAATTAGGTTTTTGGCAGCATGTCAAGGGAGATAAAGGTGGGTGATTATCAGCCTTATCCCGAAGGACTCTTTACAACTATTTGAGACTCATCTGTGAATAAACAGAATTCACAGCTGTTGCAAGAGTGTTTTGGGACTATTCGTGTGTTTTACTGACTCAGGAAGCCTAGGTCAGAACAGTTGGAGGAGGAAACGGTTACTAAATTTACCATGGGAACATGCAGCATTAGCTCCATTGCAAAAGAGATGGTTTATCTCCGATTACTAAATTGGGTAAATGTATATTACTGAAATGTAACATCTGGAACAAAATATATACTTTATAAAGGAATGCATTAACATGAAGAATCTATACCTTTTATAGCACATATAACTAACATTGTTTTAAAAAATGCAATGCACTATTTCAGAAGTTTACTTAGGTTAAAATGCCTTTTTTGATTCAGAAGCTTCTACTGTCATTTAAAGAAGGAAGTTTGATTTCCATATTAAATTTATCTAACTAAAGGGTGCATTTTCTTTTTCTGGTTCATGGATGGCAAGTTTTACTGTTGCAAACTTTTTCCCAGTAGCTATATTGGAATTGTTCTTTAGGGAGGACAACATTAATGTTTAACTATACTCCGTATTTTTCGGAGTATAAGACGCACCTTAGTTTTTGGGAAGGAAAATTTTAAAAAAGCTGATTGGCAGGTAGATCACCTCCCGGAATACCCCCAATCAGCTGTTCCCAGAGGTGAATTTTAGCAACATGTTCCTTGGTTGTGAGCTGTGCCTTACCTTATTTTTTGCTTTTTTTTCTGCCTCTGAAACTCTGTTGCAGAAAAAAAAAATTCCTGCCTCTGAAAGCCTCCGAAACAGAACTTCAGAAAAAAAGCCTCTGAAGCTGTTTGGGGGCTTCTTTTCTTGAGAAGCTGGGTGGGGCTACATTCGGAGTATAAAATGCAGCCAGATTTTCACCCTCTTTTTTGGGGGGGGAAAGGTGCATCTTATACTTTGAAAAATACGGTATCTTGGAACATTGGGTTCTCTTCCCATTTATTTTAATTACTGGGGTTTGATCCTTCTGATAATGCTAAATTAATATCATGAGGGAACCGAAATTTGGTAACAACAAGTTTTTTTTGACAACTTGTGTAGTGTATGAACCTATACCTTAAACTAATAAATAGCCTTAAACTGTGGGGTATGTTTTTTTTGTTATTTGAGGAATTGAAACATAAATATTTCCCAACGCATGCAAATAGAAATATATTCAGTTAACAACTTTTTTACTATGGGCCAACACTCCAAACTCCCTCTAATAGTAAGGGATTTACCATGGATTTTCAAATTAATAAAATAAATTATTCTGAAAATCTCATTTCTACCTTTCTCACCAGCCAGAATTTAGTCACCAGCTGACATCTTCACCACTATTCTGTTGCTACCAGGTATTCAGCCATGTGACGTCCAGGGGACAACCAGCTGCCATTTTAAAGACTTATCCCCTCGCTTGGAAAACTTGTGCCCATTTCTCAGCTAACTAGCCACAAATTGAGGGAGGTGACATCCAGGAAACTGAGAATGGACCATAAGGTTGGAGAACAGAGACAAATATGGACATAACTCCCTTCTTAAACATACAATCCTTTTATCTATGTATTTAGTGCACCTACCCGAGACAGCATTGATAGATTCCAGTATCATTCAGTAAAATTGGCCAAAATTGCAAATTAGATCCATTCAAATCAATTCTGCTGTCTCCATGAATTAGCACTTCTCGTTTTTTTCCTTTATGCCACTGGATAACTTGTCCTTCATGCTGTGGTTTTTTAGGGCAGCAAAATGAAAAGTATTCTTCTTCTAGCACATTAATAGGTGAGTGCCTTTCACAAAGCTTTCCTTCAGAAAATGAAAACATATAGAAAATAGAAAGACTATTTGTTATTATTAGAAGTATAGTAATACTTGGGCTAATATAATTCAGCTTTATAGCACAAATTGTCCATGGCAGCGTTTTTGTTTTTGTTAAAAAAAAATTGTTTGCATATATGCTAGAAAGAAAAGTACAAAATGGCAACATTCCTCATTTTGACTTCTTGTTCTACCCTCTTTAAATTCCAATTTAAATATTGCATCTGTTAACAGTTCCATTGCATCATGTGTTATAAACTAACAAAAGCTTAACATTTTAATAATGTGTTACAGAGAAGATTCTGATTTCATGAATCTCCTTTTGATTTTGCCTTCTATACACTAATACAACTGTCTACAACATTTATAATTTTAGAACAGGGGTCCCCCCAACCCTGGGCTGAGAACCATTCAGAACTGGGTGATGCGAGCAGTGGGCTGGCGCACACATGCATATGCACAGCTTGACTTACGTGAGCAGTGTGCACATGCATGTGTGCACAGCTCCACTTGCATAAGTCGAGCTGTGTGTGCATGCTCATGCGTGCCGGCCAGCCACTCGTGCAAGTTGAGCTGTGTGCACACGTGCATGCTGGCCCACCACTCATGCGGCAAGGTTTCCCTCTCCGCCCCCCAGTTGGGCCACCAAGCCGCAACAGTAGAACATTTAGGATTCCAGAATCACCAGCTAACAAAGCTGCATTATTAAGTTTGTTTGTTGTATTGGTCAACGCGATTCTGGCAGCCTGCAGACATATTTTTGGACATTTGGTGTCAAAAGGCCAAGATGCAACTGAGTGATACACAGCCTGTCCCATTTTTACACATGTTGTAGGTGCTATTTTGACTTTTTAATATCTTTACCCTACCCATCTGCCAAATCCCCTAGGAGACCTATCATATTTAATTGATATTTTTCAAGGAACCTCATTAATATTTCATGATTCTGAAACAGAATATTAAACCTCAAAATGATTTATGTCTTTAAGCATTTGTGTCATAAAATCTTGCAGACCACAGGTAGGGAGGAGAAATAGATCTTACTGATAATGATGCCACAATAACAAGCAAATTTTGGCTCATTATATATTCTTGCCTTAGTCTAATTAAGAAACAATCCAGTTGTAAGATCAAAAAGAGGCTAATGACAAATTGCTGTATTTCAAACTGTGTAATGTCACAATGGGACACACACATTCACATTCTCTAGCATACATAGTTATGGAACAGTGCTATAAGATATTGTGGTTTGAGTAGCGGAGAAATGATATTTATCTTAAGCAAACTCAAATCGTTGATGATATTGCAATGACATTTATTTTTCATTAGTATTAGATCATTTCCATTCCTTGGAAATATTTAGAGGCTGAACCTCCAATCACTTTTGATTTATTATCCTGCTGAATGGTACATTTTTACATGAAAGTCACAATAGATTATGATGAAACGAAAATATGTAAATTTACAACCGCCAGCTTATCTTGACCGATCAACATACCTTTCTCAAATGTTACCCATAACAACTTTCCATTATTTTGATGTTTATGTACCATCTGCATATGATATCTAGTCTCCGATAGCATAGACAGTCTTAAAACAATCAACCCAAAATGGCATGTTTTAAGAGAGAGAAAAGAGAGAAAACAAAAGGAGTTATACTTACCTGAGCTGATAAAGCTAAGGATCAGTGTTAGCAAAACTGCCAGATTTTCAGAACGCATTTTAAAATTTGTTTAACCTTAGTTTCTCCTGCAGAGCAAATAAAACCCCACATTTTAAAAAAAATCTAATTGAAATATAATTCTAATAGTATAATTCACTAGACTTTAATATGATGATATGAATAACACACACATAATAGTTACATCTGAATCAGTGGTGGGTTCCTCCAGGTTCTGCCGAGCCAGTAGTGGTGACGATATGACATCACCGAACTGGTTCTGCCCTCCCCCCCTGCCCCTCCGCCCCCCCCTGCATTATTCTTACCTTACCCCCAATCTATTCCTGCCTCCTGAGTCCCAGCTGATCGGCTAGAGGGCAAAAAATTGTTTAAACTCTTGGCACAGGGCTTCAAAGGGCCGCCCTACAGCTGATCAGTGTTAAAAGAAAACAAATGAGTAGACCGCTGCCTGCAAAAATAAATGGGTAGACTGGTACAGCTCTGAAAGCAGTTAAAAGCCTGGTAGACCAGTACCTCTGCTAAATCCTAAAGAATTGTCACATGACCATCAAGCCACGCCCACAAAATAAGCCACACCCACAGAACCAGTAGTAAAAAAAATTAGAACCCACTCCTGATCTGAATCTAAGATTTGAACTAGGAATCAGACTTAAGGGAGGAGGGAACATTTGCCTAACTGATATGGTGAGCCATTCTTCTGCTGAGGCTCATTCTTACAAACATGGCTACCCGTGTCAACAGTCAAAAAAGTCAAGATGGTGGCAATGATAGTATAATCAAAGCTTCACCCATTTTTTTGTGTGGCATATTAGAAACAGCTAAGCTTTGATTGCACCATCAAGGCTGCCATCTCAACTTCTCTTTTAACCATCTTTATGGATTCCCCTGCCTATTACTATAATTGGAAGCCAATTACCTTTATTCTAGAAAAGACATCAAGTACTTATGATTGCCCAATAATTCTACAATAACTCTAAAATAGCCAATTATAGAGTTATTGTAGAATTATTGGGCAATCATAAGTATTTGATGTCTTTTCTAGAATAAAGGCATTGGCTTCCAGTTGAAGTGCCAATGACCTCTCTGGTCATTATTTCCAAGTAATTTTGGGTATTTTACTCTTGAATCAATCATACCCTACAAGCAATTCACAGGAAATTTATTTTTATTACATATATCTGTATACAATCCAGTTCCCATTCTGTTTCATTCATATGATATCTTATTTATGCCAATATATATATATGCTGTCCAACTGGATAGAAAACATTCATGATCCATTATAATTCAATCACTGATGTTTCTGACAGGAAATAATATTTCATCCTTTTAACATAGCACTTGAGGCCTGCGTAATCATCACAAAAACAAAAAAAATATGAAATCGCTGCCTCATCACATTGCATAAAAGCTTGTGTCCACTTAGTGTATAAATCTGGTCATGGTTTACCAGCAAGAGCTGAAGATTCCTAGATGTTCAGTGCTGAATCTGTTTTAAGAGTTACAGCAGGAAAAGCCAATGTACTGTAGTAGTTATGGTCCTGGACTAGGATAGAAGAAAACCAGGCCCAAGCCTTGGAGGTTCCCTGGGTGATTTTGGGCCAATCACTCTTTCTCAGCCAAACTCCTGTCTCTCGGACGCCTGAAGGAATAGCAAGACATAAATCTAATAAACAAAAGCCCTAAACTTCTAAAAGTTTAGGTAGTAGTAAAAGTAGTCCATGCCTTATTAACACAATTGAGCCTAAGATTCCTGTTGCTAAGCAAGCCAGTTGTTAAGTGACTTTTGCCCAGTTTACAACCTTTCTTGCCACAGTTGTTAAGTGAATCACTGGAACTGTTAAAGTCAGTAGCATGGTTGTTAAATGAATCTGGCTTCCCCATTGATTTTGCTGGTCAGAAGGTTGCAAATGGGGATCCCATGTCCTCGGGACACTGCAATCGTCATAAATACATGGACCCGAATTTTGATCACTTAACCATGGGGAAGCTCAACGGTCATGTGAAAAACAGTTAGAAGTCACCGTTGTTACTTCAAATGGCCACCAAATGAATGTTTGTAAGTCAAGGACTACCTGTAATTGACTCCACTGCAGAGATAGCAGACAAAGTGGGGGGGGAGTATCTGAGGAATTACAGGCGGTCTTTACATAACCAATTGAACGTACAATGATATTGAATAAGTAGCGATAGTCACAACATCTTTGCAATCATGGTGACCCTCACTGCCAGGTTCCGACAAGGAAAATCAATGGGGAAGGTGGCAGGAGATTGCAAATAGTGAAAGTATGACATTGTGCTTAATGATAGTATGGGATTCACTTTATGAAGGCAACCATAAGTGCAGAACTGTGGTTGCTAAGTGGTGCAGTCACATGACATCACACTTGATGACGGTGTGACTTAGTGATGGGAATGTTAGTCCCAATTAGCATTGTTAAGTGACAACTATCTGTATAGGTATTGCTGTATAAAAAGATTCTAGAGCAGATCATAACAATAACAATCTGAAAGCATCTTAAAAACAATGTGATGATTACCAGAAGTCAGCCTGAATTAATCAACAAATCTTATCTAATTTTTAATTGGTACTTTGGTAATAGATTAAGTAAAAATTATATATTCCTTATAGCAGCACATAACAGGTTTAAAAATTGCACTCATGAAGCTCTTATTAAAAGTTCCTCATCAAATTGGAGGGAAGGATTGCCTCAAAATTTAATCTTAAGTGTTTTACTCATTTTTTAAAAAATGTAATGACTTAAATCACAGGTGTCAAACTGACCACCTTATGTTGCTATCATGTGCCATCACATTTTTCCCATTCGCAGAGCTGGGATGGGCGTGGCCTGCACGTGGCGCATCCGGCCAGCGAGCTTCCAATTTGACCCCCCTGACTTAGATGATGTAAAATTCAGAGTAAATACAGAATATTTATCAATTTTGCAGATGATACGCAAGTTGGATGAGAGAATAGGTCCACAAGGAAGAAATAAAATTCAATCTGAGCATTGATAGAGAAATTTGTTTAAAGTTACAATGAAATATAATAAATAAAATGTTGTAATAAAAAGTTAAATTGAAAAGTTATGGGATGGGTATACTTGTCTTGGTAAGGGATTTGAGAAAAAGTATTTGCAATAAAAGCTTATTGCAAATGGAAAGCAAGTGAATATTGTGATATGGTTGCAAACATTCCACAACATTTCCAAATCATGAAACTAACAGTTCTTTTTTATTCTTTTTTGTTTTTGTTTTTGTTAGAATTAAAGTATTTAATTTGCTCTGTGGCCTGAAGGTTAATTCAGGACCTAATTGAGAAGAAGGTTCGTTTATATTTAATTTAGGAAAGTGATTCTCACTTTCCAGGTGAGCCATCCAGCCTCCTCCATGTTAACCACCTGTAATGTAGCCACATCTTGTTGGCTGTCATTGCCTTAGCAAAAAGGGATTCGTGACTGAAAACTTGTTTATTGAAGCACAGAAGTCAAAGTATAAATACTATAGCAGTAGAGTAGTAAAACTCAGAAAAAAATGACAAAAGTGAACAGATTTCAGTTGTCATTATTATGAATCCACGTGTGCCATCTTAAGGGGCACCATGATTTCAGACAAATCAGGAAATATGTTTGTGTGATTTCAGAGGAATAGAGACCCAAATACCCCTTAATAAAGATGTCTACTGAAGAAAATTTTGAGCAGCAAGCTTCTGCGTAGTAAATTATTATTATTGTACACCATGAGGTACAACAGAATTACTCAAACGATAAATGGATGGACATTTTTGTGGCAATATTTAGTTTCAAGATGCCTCCAAAAATAGAAGGGAGGAGAAAATATAAAACACAACTATAATCATCTAATTACCTCAAGAAGAGTGAACCACAATGTTTTTTTTTAAAAAAACAAACAAACAAAGATAGAGAGGAAGTACTCATTTAACTGTGCAGTCTCTGTATCTTTACTGGCTAATCCCTGTCTGGGAAATACCGATTTAGAAAAGTCAAATTCGGGCTGAAAGATCCACTATTACTACTGCATGGTAACAGAGAGTTTTCTGTCTCTTTTTGCTGCCATCTAGTGGTCCTCCGAATCTTTGCAGCCCAAATCTAGGAAATCCAGGATGCTGAACTAAACACGGCTCTCCCGATGACAGCGAATTCTGGGAGCAGGAGTCTCAGCGCCTTTTCCAAAAGTTGCATGGTTGGGAAGATGGTCCTTACCTTAAGCCAGATGCAGGTGCAGAGAGACAGTGGGATGAGGCTGAGAGTTGGATGGGCTCCCAATGCAGACGCTTTGGAGGCGAAGGTTTTTCTCTGACGATTCCCCAGGCGAGGATTTTATGCTTCTGCCCTAGAATTTAGCAGCAGGAGAGGAAAAGAGGACCCTCGGTTTCTCCCAGAAGATGCTTTCGATCGGCCGGGGATTGACCTGCTGTTGCTAACTCAAGAATGACGAGAAAGAGGAGCCTGGGGGCCCTCCCTGACTGGAAGCCCCGCCTTCCACCCCGCAAAAGTCCCCCTCCTGCCCTCGCCCCGTTGTTCAGACGAGAGACGTGAGTTGATTCAGATGTTCCGCGCGCTAGACGTGCCCCGAATCCGGGGAAATTGGGCTTTGGTTAAGCGGGGAAATTCTAGGAGAATTGCTTTCAAAACAAGAAAGGGGTGCAAGCGTTTTGTTTTTTTTTAAAAAAATTTTTTTTCTACACCTCACCCGGGCAAAAGACCTGTCGAAATCCTTGAGAGGTGCTTTTGATTCAGAGTGTCTGGGAGCCGGTAGTAACGTTTCCGATGGGGAAATGAGGAAACGGTGTGGTGTAATGAACTTTTTTAAATACGCGGGTGAATAAATTGCTCTCGCCCCTTTCTCAAACAACTTGTCCCTGCCACACCATCTTGTTTGGCTGTCCTTATTGATGGTGTACAGAACACATTCAGGCAAGAATTGAAGGATTCCTCAGTTTTTCCCTCTTCCCTCCCCTCTCCTCCCGCTTTCTCCCCCAAATTTCTGAGCAGCAGGAAGTATTTACCAATAGTTGGCAACAGGGCCGGATTTAGATGAAAAGAGGCCCTAGGCTATTCCACTTATGAGGCCCTTTCACCTATAGTGAAAGTGTAATTTTAATTTTGCTAACAATTTGAATGTAGGCCCCTCTTGATCTTGAGGCCCTAGGCTGAAGCCTAGTTAGCCTATAGGAAAATCCAGCCCTGGTTGGCAAGAGCTTGGACGATAAAAGCGGAGAGCTTTGAGACCAGCAAAAACAAAACCGTTCTAGTTTTGCATGAGTGCTTTAAGGGAATTAGCATCTGATAGCCCAGATTTGATAGACCCAGATAGAGAGTGTTGTTTTAGAGCAGTTAAATGCCTGTTTGAAAACCATCCAAGTAATAGATGTTGAGAGAACTGTGAAGCCAATAGCAGAGACTGTCCATCCCTCCTGGTGGAGGGATGTTCCTGGTCGACTGTTCTAAAGGTGTGAATGCCTGTGGATCAACTTGTGGATCGGCTTAGGCAACGCTGTTAGTAGAAACTGTGCGATCCCACTTTTCAGGAGTTCTCTATGCAGGACGACTTTGCTGCAAACTATAGAATAAATTTATTTATTTATTTATTTATTACATGTATTTATATGCCGCCATTCTCCCGAAGGACTCAGGGCAGCGAACACAAATTAAGAAACAAGTACAATAAAATCATAATTTAATCCAAATAATTAATTAGTAGTAAATAATAAAGCCCGGAATCAGTCTCAGCCTATTTGTTTGAAAAGCCAAGTCTTCAAGTCCCGACGGAAGGAGCGGAGATCAGGAGTCATCCGGAGCTCAGTAGGTAATTCATTCCAGAGGGTGGGAGCACGCACAGAGAACGCCCTACCCCTGGGCACAGCAAGGTGACATTGGCTCGCTGTCGGAACCCTGAGGAGAGCGGCCCTATGTGAGCGAACAGGACGGTGAGAGGCAGGCAGGAGAAGGTCATGCAAATATCCCAGACCTAAGTCATGAAGGGCCTTATAGGTGAGGACTAGGACCTTGAAGCAGACCCGGAGAACCACTGGTAACCAGTGCAGCTCACGCAGGAGGGGTGTTATATGGGAGTAACGAGGGGCTCCCATAACAAATGGGAGAACACGGCAGATCGTAGCTATAGACAGCAAAGCTGCTGCTGAAGGAAATACCACTTTAAAACTAGAACAACTAATTCAGTGGTGGAAATCAATTTTTTTTTACTACCGGTTTTGTGGGCGTGGCTTGGTGGGCGTGGTGTGGCTTGGTGGGCGTGGCATCTCCATTCCCACCCCACTCCAGGGGAAGGATACTGCAAAATCTCCAGTCCTACCCCACTCCTGGAGGAAGGATACTGCAAAATCTCCAGTCCCACCCCACTCCAGGGGAAAGATACTGCAAAATCTCCATTCCCACCCCACTCCTGGAGGAAGGATACTGCAAAATCTCCAGTCCCACCCCACTCCTGGAGGAAGGATACTGCAAAATCTCCAGTCCCACCCCATTCTGGGGTCAGCCAGAGGTGGCATTTGCCGGTTCTCTGAACTACTCATAATTTCTGCTACCTGTTCTCCAGAAACTGTCAGAACCTGCTGAATAGCACCCCTGAATTAATTGTCCATGGGGGTTCTCAATCATCCAGGTCATGGTTGTCCCAAGGATGCTTTTCCAAAAAGCAACGGGACTTTCTTGCTTTTTTTCCATGAAAATATTTTGCTTCTCATCCAAGAAGCTTCTTCAGTTCTGATTGGATGATGGGGAATTTAGAACGAAGGATTCCTTAAGGCTGCTTGAGATTGCAGCTGTGATGAAATGAAGGCAGCAGCATCATGAAGATATTGCAGGAAAAAGGTTGCTAAGGAGGGTTAGATGGAAATGAGAAAAGGTTCACTGACATTGGTTATCTGATGTCCCTTTTTTACTCCAGTACTGTCTTCATTTTAGAGAGTGAGTGAGGAGCACCTGTTGGCTATCCCCTCTTATCAGGAGATAGGGCAGAAGAAGGTATGTTGCTTGGGAAATTCTGTGTGTGGAAGTTCGTACATCTTAAAATGGAGAAACATTCCACTTAAATCAGGGGTCTCCAACCTTGACAATTTTAAGACTTGTGGACTTCAACTCCCAGAATTTCTCAGCCAGCTTGGAATTCAGCTTGGAAGCTGGCTGAGGAATTCTGGGAGTTGAAGTCCACAAATCTTAAAGTTGCCAAGGTTGGAGACCCCTGATTTAAAGCATATTTGACAGATAACCCTGCAGTCTCTGTTGGAAGACCTGTACTGGAAGACCTATAGAAGTGGAGTTTGGTATAGTAATTAAGCCACCAGGCTAGAAACTTGGAGACTGTGAATTCTACTCCCATTTAACACAATGTCAATTGGGTGACTTTGGACTAGTCATTCTGTCATAGCCCTGAGAAGCAGGTGCTGGCACACCACTTCCAAAAAACCTAATCAAGAAAACTTCAAGGGCTAGTCCAGGCAGTCGCCAGAAGTCAAAGCTGAAAGAGAACAGAGAACTGAAGAATTCACCACTTTATATCTTCCAAATTTTCCTGATGTCCAGCCTTAACCTTTCATTTTAGCTCATCGTTTCGTTTCCTCTGGGATAATGGAGAACATTCACACTTCCTTTCTTACGCTACCTTTCAGTTTCATGTTCCACAACCACTTCTTTTTTTTAAAACTAAATATACCCAGATCATTTAACGCTTTCTCCTGCAGCTTGGAGTCTTGTCTTTTACCATCCTGTAGCCCTTCGCTAAACTTGTTCCAATTTGTCACTGTCCTTTTTGGACTGTGGTGCTCAGATAGTAACATGAACTCAGATAGTACTACTTTATCATTTAATAAAAAGGACAACAGATGTGTGTGTGTGTGTGTGTGTGTGTGTTTGTGTGTGTGTGTGTGTGAGAGAGAGAGAGAGAGAGAGAATGTTTGTGCTGTGGTTCAAGCATAATTTTAGGGAATAGTGCAGAACAAGCCTGCTTTCTGGGGGCAGGGGTATCATATTGTTGGAAGAAACATCCTTCTGGGTTCTGCTCCAAGTGGGGAAAACAGACACTGGAAACATGGAGACTGCTTGGAAAGATGGTTTAATGGTGGACAGGATCACATGGCTTGAGTTCCTGAACAGAAAAGGGGCAGATACAGTAAATCCTTGGGTTTTTATGCTCTCTCTGGCTCTGCATTTCTTGGGGCCCCAAAAGAGTATCCTGATTGGTTGTCAGACTCCCAGGCGGTGGGGGTCTTGCTGGCTGATGGTCACATGTGCTTCCCAGGTCACATTTGGTGAGTTTCTGCTGCTATTGTGTAGAGGGCTAATCCTATCTTTTGGCAATTCCTACTATGGCTCTGCCTGAAGGAGGCAGATCTTTGTTATGTAGAATAGACTGGCCCAGGCCTTAATGGCCCATTGACAAAGGGTGGGAGGCAGGAAGGTGGGAGCTGCTTTGTCTGTAAAATATGCTTCTCATATTTCTCATACAGGGAAATATAATATTCTGCCTTTTTCATATTTCCTAAAATATTTCACTCTTCCAGGAAAGGGGTGGGTGCTAACTTCCTACAATATGTTTACAGAAACAAAACAACTGTATAAAAGGAAGAGAAGAAATATAGATGTCTTTAACAACAGAACGCCTGACATGTATAGGATTAACTCTCTCTCTCTCTCTCTCTTTTTTTTTTGTAAATATTTTTTTATTTATTTTTTCCAAATTTAAACATAAAACATAACTTTCAAGAGCAAAAATCCCGATTCAGTCAGATGGTTACCACGCTTACATTCCTTTCACAAGCTCAATTCATGTAATTTCCATTACATCTTTTATAAGTAAACAAAAAAGAAAAGAAAAGAAGATAAAAAAGAAATTCAAAACTTAAAAAAACCAATTTTAACTCAAATTTAACATTTTCATCTATATAAATCCATTATATCTATCCAAAATTAGTTTCAAATTCACTTTCACTCATTTTTACATCTGCATAACAATTCTAAACATATCTTTATTCTTCTTTACCTTATATCTTATACCAGTCATATCAAAATAATTTTTACAATATTCTAACCTCTTGTTAAGTGTTTACCTTACAATTTTATCACCATTCATTCTTAATTTCAATTCAATACCACTCCATTTTTATTATATTTTATAAAACAACATTTTGTCTAATTTTAATCCTTTGACCCTTATCCTCAAATCAGTTTACCTTAGTTTTTTTTCTCCCAGTTTACATATTACACAGATTTCTCACAAAGATATATTTTATTTACTCCAATTTCTAATATATTTTCCACTATATCTCCCTCTAATACTTAACTATCTTCCAGCTTATTCTATTTGATTAATTCTCAGCTTGATCCCCTCCAAAACACCAACTATTTAGTTAATTTCAGAATAGTTCCTCAATTTCCTCCAACTCTCCTCCTATTTGTTTGGCTGTTT